ACTCTGTCCGAAGGAAGATATGGTCATGTCAAGGTCAAAAAGGTATTGATAATTATTCATTTTTTTTGAAAAAAGAAAAAAAATTTCCTATTTGGGATTAATATTTGTCGAATTGAGACTAGATTTGAGATCTTTATCATTATCAATAGACAGACCAATATATTCGAGTACTCTAACAATGAATTTGAACTTGAAAATCTTATAAAATACTTTATCCTTCGTTTGTCTTAAGAATGACTATACTATCAATAATCATACCAGTCGATTAGAACCTAATTATAGATCAAGTATTCTATTGTTTAGTACTTTAGACAGTGTTTGTATGCCAGATCGAATTAAGCGTTGCAGATTGTAATCATTGCTAGACGATGCTGAACTATATTGATAGTTTTGAGGTGATTTTTCAAGTAAATATGTGATATGTCTCACAGTGTATATTTATTAAAGAATAGAAAAAAGACAATACACGAAGTGAACAACATTATAATCTTATCGACCTAGATTGTGTTGTTACAATAGTGGTAGTAAAAGTGCCCGCAAATAATTACGAAAAGCAGGAATAGTGAGATCATGATGACGAGCAAATGATAAATACCACACTACACAGGGAGTATGTGCGCAAAATCCTGCGGTTTTTGCTCCTGCCTTCCATTGACAACACGCTGCTTCAATAATATTAAATAGATCGTTATCATTAGTGCAATTCTGCTGGTTATATTTTATCCAACAATAGTATTCTTGACTGGAGTGATGCTGACTACGAATGTGACAACGAATAATGTTCGGATGACTAGGATGCATCTGCAAAAGAAAGTCGCCATTTCTTCCAAAATGTTGTTCTGCATATATGCGTGACTGCTTCAACTGATATGAACCGAAGAAAAGCGTGAGAAGATTACTCTTCTGTAAACGTGAAAATTCGATGGTGTCAGCGTGGACATTCGTTCATTGAGCACGAGTACTGAGATCGCCATTATTGACGAGATCTGCCAGCTCGCTCTTCGCAGCTGACAGCTCAAGCATAGATGCTGCTAACATTTGGTGTCGTTCGGAATCAATAGATGAAAAGACCGGATGGCAAAAGCAATTAATTGCTGCTGTCATAATGCGCGCATAAGGTCCGATATTTGGTAAGAGGGAGTTAGGAATACACTCGGACAGAAGTGCTCACTTTTTGACTCTTTCATGATACGCCTCAACTATCCACCTGTTCTTAGTGACCAGACGAGAAGCATTGGCATCAGCTGTTGGTAACTGCCTTTGTTTGGCAGGTAAAAATGCAGGCATTCGAACTTCAAATCCTGCTTCTTCAAGCGATTCGATACAATCTCGAAATCCTCTATTAACAAGAAGGATGTCTCCATATTCTGTCCACCGTTGTAGAGAATCATTAAGTTGAAGAATGCTTTCGGTGATTGATGGATCATTTGCATTTCCTGCAAAGGGTCCCATCGCATCAACCACATTATCCATCGGAAAGTACAATAGATAACATCTTTACTAGATGACGTTTTTTTTGTGCTGAATTGGTTGACCTTTGAAACGCGTGATCTTGGCTCTTTTGAATAAAATAATATATCCCGTCAAGGACGAGAGCAACATTATTCCCAAAAAAAGTTTTCGAATAGATTGTCTGATGAGCTAATGCTTGATTACGATTCAGGTGATTCACTCCGAGAAACTTCGGAACAAAATGAGCTAGAAGATTGTCTTGAACAGATGAACATGTTTCAGCAACTCGTTTTCTATAATCATCAATTGGAGATTTATAGTCCATCAACATACCGATCTGATCATAAGTTAGATTAGTACGTAACTTGATCCAAAACATAGCTAATGCTAGTTCAGTCGAGCGATTTTTACTGTCTTTCCTCTGTCCCGAAATCGCCTTGCGCATAACTGAAAGTTCACTTCGACGCCAACCAGTCCACATTTTAACTTCATCGTCTGTTATATGAGAATCTTCAAGATCAAGTCGTGGACGATTTTTTGCCTATAATAATACGAACAGTTACATAGTCGAATTTAAATACCTATTGACATCATTTTTAGTTTTTATTATTCAAATATAGCTGTCTCTTTTATTATTTTCATATACTCTTACTATTTCATATGAACAGAGTTTTTGAAAAGAAACTATTACTCTAAATGTTTTACCGGACCTTTGTTGCTTTCAGATATAAAAATACAAGTTCGACCAAAGAACTGTTATCTCTTAATTTACTGCGAACAAATTGTCTGAGAAAAATTGCTCAGACGATATTTAATTGAAACTCAGCATGATAAAGAAATAGAAAATAGTTTTTGTAAGAAAGATCCTAATTAAATATACGTTTCGGAAACAGAACTTCGGCTACTGTAATGAGGAAAAGGTTAAGAACGAACAAAAGTATATAATCAAGGAAAAAAAATATCACGATCACAAAATAGTTGTTTCTAGAAAAAAATAAGTGAAAGAGAAGCACTATATTGATTGTATTTCGTAGATATAGTAAGACTTAGATGCAAAATGCTCCAAATATATCAGAAGCTCCAATGATATCGAAAAACTACATCTCACAATTTTTTAAGCAGCTTCAAATATTATTGAATAAAACTATCTTAAGCGACTAACACAGAAATTCTATGAATTCAGACTACAGGTAGAAGTGTTGTTGCTTTGATTTTACTCACCAAACGCAATTGTAAAACCAAATCCTTGATCAGACCCTTTCCTGATGTTATACTCAATATCAATGGCTCTAATCGACTACGGTTGACGAAAACATCAGAAGACAGACGATCTCGAATAATGTGTTTACTGCACACGCGTGTGCAAAGAGGAACATAAAGGTTATGATCAACAAGTAGGTCAATCCGAGCATCAGTAGTCAGTTCGATCGCTTGACTCGTCAACAATACATGACATATACAGCAACGTGTTCGACGGTCAGATGTTGCAAAAAATATTCATCAAAGACGATATTTTGCTGATCATCATCTGAATTAGATGATTGTGATGAATCAATTTCGATTTCATGATCTCGTCGAGCAGACAGCTAGCATGTACAACATAAAAACAAATCTCTATCAGAATTTTCTGGCAGATTGAGTTTCTTCTGAATCCAGGCATAGGAATCGGTGTTGATTAAACGAGTATTTATTTTGTTCTTCCATCGTTTACAACGACAACAATAACTATTTGGCATGTCAAAGTACTTTCTCTTATTAGATAATTTCAGACAATTGTTGTTCTTAACGTGGACACGGACAGCTATATATATATATTTATATCTAAGTATAGAACGCATTAGAATTGACCCATTTATATTAAGAAAAAGAGAGAAGAACACAAGAAAGAACGAGAGAAATGTAGAATGCACTTGAATCACCTTGGAAAAAAACGGTGTTATTCTTGCATTACAACAGAACCGAAAAGAAGAAAAATAGTAAAACAAGAAAACCCTTATCTATAACACTGTTATTGAGATCCTAATGTGGCGCTCAAATCAACTGGACTTATCATCTATCTTTTTTTTACCGATCGTGTGGATACCAATTATGATACTAGTCAAATGCATAGTTTCTTAGATTGCCGTCCCCTTTATAAGACTTCATCACAATGGTAATACAACTATCAGAAATCGTTGACATTATGTTTTTTATCACACACTACTTTTATTCTTTTTGACTCGTCTGCAAATATATCTAATATAGAGCACGAAAAATAATAATATATCACATCGAACAAAATTGGAATTTTTCTTATAACACCTTTTTTCCATCATCGTTTATAAGTATACGATTGGTTTTGTACTTCAACAACCTAATAGAATACACAAAACGAAAAGGATAATTTACTCATATAAATTGAAAAGACACTAGCTCTTTCGAATGTAATTTTTATTATTCCATAGTTCCTCTATAATTAGGTTCTAATCGACTGGTATGATTATTGATAGTATAGTCATTCTTAAGACAAACGAAGGATAAAGTATTTTATAAGATTTTCAAGTTCAAATTCATTGTTAGAATACTCGAATATATTGGTCTGTCTATTGATGATGATAAAGATCTCAAATCTAGTCTCAATTCGACAAATATTAATCCTCAGTAAGAATTTTTTTTTCTTTTTTCAAAAAAAAATGAATAATTATCAGTACCCTTTTGACCTTGACATGAGCATATCTTCCTTCGAACAGAACNTTCAACAGAAAAAGGAAACAAAAGACTAATATCGATAAGGATGTCAGCAATGAATAAATTATCTCTGTCTCTCGTTCTCTCGTTTTACAATAATATAAATGAGCTTGCTGTTCATATCGCTAACAACAATGGTGAAAAAAAATTTAGAACCTATTATAGTTGATTAATGCTTTTTTTATTCTCACCGAAGTAGGTTGATATCAAGTGAGAAACTAGCGTGGATGGAGATAAACAAGAATACGTCTAAACTCTTCTTGTTTTTCTATGGTTTTGTGTTCATACTTTTTATTCAGAATCTCCTAAATATTAATTTTCTTACATTTCATTTCGACGATGCTGCCATCATCTGTAATCGAGAGTGTTTTATATGATTGGGTATGGGATGTGGGTGGATGTGAATACGGATATCCAATCTATATACACCCACATCTACACCTACACCTTCGTACATATTATTGTGGGTGTGAAAAACAGTGATGCTTTAAAATGTAATGTTGAATATCCGTCTAGCAAGTAAAAAATGCTACTTTATCAACAAATCTAGTGCCAGGTCATATAGTGATTCGATCTACGATTAGATTTATTCGACTGTCACTCTGATGTTTTTGATCTTTTCACTTGACATTTGGAAAAGGATTGGTCGAGGCGTAGAAAATGACTCATGTCTTAATTGATGAACAATGTTGAAAAATGATCAAATGAATATTTAGATCGCAAAGGACACAAAGCTTATAATCGACGATTCTTATCAAAATGATCAAGTCGTTACTGTTCTATTCGCTTTGAATATTCAACTCATTATGACATGCAATTGCTTGTGTTATCAGTCGCTAATGACTTGGTAATATGGTTTTGGTCTTGTGTGAAGTAGGAGAAAGTTTGATTGACATGGAACAGAGATATAAAGCGTATCACATTGAGGTTCATGATTATATCCGTTGATGAAGTCAACTTCTAAAGTTTCTAATGTCAATCAACACGCCGTCAATGTTAGTAAGAAAAGAAAGCTTCAAAGATGTTGAAACCATCTCTGTGAGACTTTTTGTGTGCGACTTTTGCTTTTTTTCGAACCAAGCTCGAATGTAATTGTTTGGATCAACAAGACAAAGAAAATGTTGTCTCTATCGGCAAGGATTTCGATATATTGAAAACCAATGATGTTCGAATTGATGACGGTGAAGATATTCGAATTTTACGATGTACATGATCAGAATTGCAATCAGTTGAATAAATTATCTATTGCAGAAATGTCAAGCATTTCTGATCATTACATGCTTAAAATCGACCCGTTGTTTTTTTAATAGAAAAATGATGATAGTATGTTTCTGTGTTGTCAAAAGAACGTCCCTTTTCAATTTGATTTATGGATATTACACAAAGAAAAATTAATATGGGAAAGCATTTGTTTTCTGATTAAATTTTACGAGCAAATAATAATAATGATCAGACTCTTTCGATTGACTAACAAAGATTTTATAACAAACAGAGCCGATCAATCCCATAAGACTATTGATTAAAACATGTTTTTGTTGAGCTGCCATATTGAGGTTTTTCTAATTAATATTTAAAAAAATGCACAAGATCAGTTATGGCATGATGTGTTATCGAATAGAATTTTGATGAAATAAACTTCTCTATTAACGAGAATATCTTGTATTTTCTATCAATAGTTTTCTTTAACTATTTGATCAGCTTCACTTTTCTCATTAATTCTGATTTTGAATGTTCCATCATCGTTCAGGATAGAAGAACTTCAGAGATTTCCTTCTCTGCATCGATGCATGTCAAATATTGACCGTTGATTTCTCTCACCATCATCTAGAAAATGTTTGTTGACCGATTATCACATAGATGATAGAATTTCATTCTTTGCTTTACCGATGAAAAAAGTTAGAAAATTTCTGTAGAATTTCTGTTTGATTGAAGACAAATATTACAGGCAATTATTTCAATTTTTTTTCAAGTATTTGGTGAACTAAAACTCTAAATGAGACCCATTGAATTCATATTCTTACCGGTATATAATATTTTTTCGGTAAATTAGACGAAATGGGCAATTAAAAAAATGACCAAAATAAATATTGAACGGTCAGTACTTAAATTATCAGTAATAAACTAACAAATGAAATGTGGAGGTGCATGTTGGTCTTATTTTCATTCACACACATCATCAACACCCATTTCCACATCCATCCTTATATCTCGAAATGAATACAATGCGATTTCAGCATTCGATAAATCAAGACAACATTCGTGGTAAGTGAAATACATAGAAGATTCGAAGAATTGACAGATATTTCAAGGTATGAAGTTAGGACGAAATATTATTCTAAAGGGCGATTTAGAAATTTCGATCCATCTCTATAGATTGACAGTATCTATATGAATACATATATAGATTAGTTGACTGAAATACACAGTTTGGTAGAGAAAAATTAAAGTTGGGTGTAGATCTGAATGTTGGAGTACTGTTGACCCATATACCCAAAACTGTATGTTGTACATTGTTTCGACAGAAACTTACCATATAAACTGCATCGTTACCATGATCTGTTAGTTTCGCTTTGAAAAAACTTAGTTTGGGGAACTTTATTGTGTCTCTTGGTGTATGTTTGAGAATATCAGAAATGTTGAACAAAAGAAAATAACGAAAATTTGAAAGAGAAAAATCAACAATATACGACAAGATGTTGACTAAATCAAAATTTGAATAACAATGGAATCAAAGAAAAAAGCAAACTGATCGATTTATATGTTCCTTGAGAGCAAAGTTTATTAAGAATTCAAGATGCACAAGCCAACATGAATAAGATGAACTCATTGTCGTCGCTGAATCATTCTTGATAAATCATCTTCTTAGTCATGCCACCATCGACGATAAAGTTCTACAAACAGAAAAAAAAACGGATTGGAATTTCTGCATATAGAGTCAGCTAAACAGAACAACTCTGTAAATTACCTGTCCTGTAATAAATCCATTAACATCGTCTACTAAAAATTCTACGATTTTTGTGACATCTTCAGGTACACCAACACAACCAGCAGGATGTTGTAAATGATCCAACTCTGTTAGAGGAGAAATAAGAGCTGGTTCACCATGTCGAACCAACTGTCTCGTATCCATATCACGGACATCGATCCAGCGGGGTGAGACCGCATTGACTCTAACACCGAAACCTGCAAAACTAACAGCCATTGCTTGTGTAAGTCCAATGAGTCCAGCTTTGCTTGCAGAATAACCTTCATTGTTGGTTTCGGATTGGAGAGCACGAGTGGATGAGATGTTGATTATGCAACCTTTTGAAACACGAAGATGTGAAGCAGCATAGCGAGAACATATGTAGGGACCAATAAGATTTGTCTCTATGAAGTTACGAAAGTGTGAAACAGGTACGGCGTCGAATGATGTACTAGGATCGTCTCTGCCGCCGATCCATGGGCTTACTAGAGCAGCATTATTAATAAGAGCGTCTAAACCAGAAAATTTCTTCACAGTAGCAGCAATACATGAAGATATGGATAATTCATCATTGACATTACAACTATAAAATAAAGTGTGACTTTGAACTGAACGACCAGAATCTGGTGGAAACACGGAAGGATCATTTGAAAGTAGTTGTTCAAGTGCTTTCAGCGACGTTTTATCGTTATCTGCTAGTGTTACGTAGCAGCCTCGAGAGAGAAATTTTGTTGCTATATGCCGGCCAAGTCCATTTGCTGCACCCGTGACAATAATTTGCTTCATTTCTATTCAATTCTACAATCTGGATGAAAAGTGTTGCAAAAGAAACCAATTAATATCAGTATGAAATGAAACGAAAAATAACGCGCAACAGTCTTTGACGAGCAGCTTTCACTCATATTTTTAGCTACAATAAGCAAGGCTTACGAATTACATAGAGAACTTCTAATGAAAAGTTCACAAAACGAATCAATAGCTAGGTCCGTGACTTCTGGACAACCATCACCTTTCATTTTAAAACTCTTCATTCTTCGGAATAAAAAAAACCTAGAGCCTTATATTAAGACTCATCAAATCTGGTCAAAATTTGGGACCATATCGCTAAGGAAAGCACACAGTTGCTATGAATCGACCTCTCCAGAACGCCTTCTAATATGGGAAGAGTTTAGATACGATCGCTATTAGCTTTTTCACGCACTACGCAATAGCAACCAAATTTTTAAACAATTTGTAATGTTATTAATTTTATTTTTCTCGTAATGAGATGCTAATCAACAGTTTCTTTTGCAGTTTAAACTGTACTAAGTTCTTATTTCGCTCCTTCAACTTTCTCTCGCACGAAAACATATCGAAGCATTCGACATCATCTCTTTCATTCATAGACTGAGATAATAATAAGTCTCAACGAATTTGTGCTTTTGACTCTTCGTTGGAAACTTACGGTCATTGCTTTAACTTTCCCAGGGAAAACTATGCAAAAAAAGAAAACTCTATGATTCTATTCATCAAAACCCATATAAATTTGAAACTTTCACACAGACGTACTTTCAGTGTCAATTTATTATGGTGAAAGTTTCAACTTGCTAGCTTGTTTATTCTTTGAGTAACGCAAATTCACGAATAAGATCACTATGAATTATCAATGACTTCTACATGCACACCCATGGCATTGAAAGTATATTTATGGGAAAGTTTCGAAATTATATGAGTTTTGACGATGAAGTTATAGAGTTTTCTATTTTTTAAGCTTTTCGTTGACAAAATTACAGATATGACCATAACTTTCGAACGAAGAGTCAAAAGCGCAAATCTATTGAGACTTATTACTATGTCGATATATCCCAGACAGTAAAAACATGGAAAAAAAATTATTAGTTTTCAAAAAAATAATGAAATTTCTAATTATAAAACTGGTACTTTAATCGATTATTTCGAAGAATAATTTTGTAGAGTTCATGTGATGCGAAACAATTATTTTTTAATCAAAATAATTTCATGAAAATGGTTAAAAACTAATGGAAATTCATCAAGATAACAAAATCCTTTTTATGAAATGACAAAAAAATAATAATCTAGATAAAATTAGTTTGATTATTTGACTTCCTGAGTATGCAATAGGTTGGTATATGAGTGAAAGAAAAAGGAGTTGCACACGCTTCGATATATTTCCTCGTCAATAAAAGAACATTCTTTGTACTGCAAAAACAAACTGGTAAATCTGTGTTTTATGCTTACTTGCCTTGTAAGAAAATTTATGCATAATGCTGCATACAAAGCTAACGACTTCCTGAGTTCGTCTTCATGAATTGCTACCAAAGGCTATGACGATCAATTTGCGATTATAGGATTGATCACAAAAACATGGCGTGGTTTTTGCAAGAATTTTTAGAAATTGTGAATAGCGGCGAGAATATAGTTTGATGTACAACCTATCGGAATTTTTTGCATCTGCATTACAAGACAACAATTATTTGAGTCGATAGGTCAATAGAACCAGGTTCTTATTACTAACAAATTTTCGACCTTTGAACTCTTTTTTTTTTCAAAAGATATTTAAAAAAATAATGTTTGAAAGAAACTTGGATATAATGAGTCAATTTTATAAATCATAAAGGAAACGAGAATGGATGAAAAAAACAACAAAAGAAAGTATCTTATCTATAGATGTCGAAAGATAGCGTGAGAAACAATGAATAACTTTCTTGATATTGAGAACTTTCTGATCGAAGAGTATACATAAAAATAGTTCAATAGGCAAGAAAAAAAGAGTACATCATTGCAAATTATGAAAAATACCTAAGATTAGAAAAGAAACGAGATAAGTTTTCAGAATAAAACTGCTTTTTTCATCAGACCGTCGAGCCACTTATTGTAGAGTTTTCTTAGCTTCATTAATATTTATTTGACTCTCACAATGATATAATTTTCCACAGAGTTTCTATTATTCTCATTTTTGTCTTAGTTTCTGAATAGGCTACTTCAAAAGCAGAAAGTAGACGTTCCAACTTAAAACACTTTGGTCAACAACATTCGAGAACGAGCGAAATAAAATTCACGTATGTCGCTCAAGCAATAACCAACGAGTTATTTTCACTTATTATGACCGATTTCTTTCGTTGAAGAAAGCACACTAGAGGCCTGAGTCTAACATACGTTTTTTGTATTCTAGTTGGGACGATTTGGTATGAATTATTCAGAAAATTCCATTGAAATTGTTCTCTAGAAACTGTAGAAAGAAGACTAAAATCTATCATCGTTATCTTCACGTCTTGTATATATACAAGCACGTGTATATAAACGTGACCTTTTTTTTTTCTTCAACTGCCTTTTACAAAGGTTCTCGTAACTTATACAAGTCTTTGTCTTATACGAAATATGAATCAGGAATCATGGACTGATCCTAAAGAAGCGATTGTTAATCCAGATGTATTAGCAAGTATGATTCAACAATTTAAAGAACATCCGGATTATAGTGAAAACAAAGGTGACAATGGCTCGCCAATTATATCAGGAGAACATCAAGAAGTAGCCAGAGATGAAACACCAAACAAACGTAGACGAAATCTAATTGATGGTGATTTTAGTAATATACAAAGTCCGAAAAATCGCCGCATTCGTGGTAGTTTTGGAAGTAAAGACCAAGGTGTTCGTGGACCCATGGTGATACACAATCAAACCTATGTCCATCGGAATGAACCAAATATAAACAAGAACAATAATCAACATCACAAACAACACTCAGCGAGTTTAAATAATACAAAAAATAATAATATAAATGAAGATTTTTATCACTATAAAATAAATGATCAATCATTAACATATTCTGTTGATACACATTTACCACCAATTATATTTGAATGTCGACCAAAAATAAAGGAAAAAGATGCAGCTAAGAAACTGGTTATGTTGTTTTTCAAAGAAATCGAAAAAGATTTTCGACAGAAACATCCTAATCATAGAAGAGCTATTGGTTTTGATCATTGGTGGCAAGACTCAGATGATGCTCGTATATTAGGTGAAATTAAGGATGTTGATTTATTTATTTACTTATGTGATGCAAAGAGATATCCAAAACAACTAAACAATGTTAATATTCTTCCGGATCCACCAAAACGTCTACCACCGCGAAATACTGTTGTAGTTAAATTTGTGAAAAATGATATTGACATTGATGAATTTCGTCTTGATATAAAGGAACGATACAAATCTATCTTTACGGTTGAGAATATGATGGGTGCTATGCGATCCAACAGCAGGCACATTAGGATGGACTTTAGCGATATAAACGATTATGAATCAATACTTAATAGTGGTGTGATAAGCATACAAGGTCAGCTTTATGATGTAGATGAATATTTACCTGCTCCCAAAATTCTTATATGTTCGAAATGTAATGAACCAGGGCACATTAAAAAACAATGTCTTTTGTCTATTGAGAAATGCAGAAGATGTGGTGGTGATAGAAACGATGGTAGTGATCATAAAATATGTTTAATTAAATGTCAACATTGTGGAAATAAGGAACATTGTTCAAATGATTATCGATGCCCTTCTCTTCTCGATTTTCGTCGTCAAATTGTAGCTGAACTTCGTAGAAGACCTGATTGCTTGCCTCCGCAAGTTCAATTTTTTATACCAGTTGACTGTCGTCCGAAAGGTAACTATACTCGAAAATTGATCAATCCGACTACTGAACATCAACAACGAAAATTTACACCCCAATTAAATATAAATTCAATGAATGAATGGCCGGAACTGCCTGTCAGACACTTCAACACTGAACAAATAGTCAACTCAACTGTAAAAGAATTAGCAGAATTAAAACAAAAATATATTGAAGATCAACAGAAAATTGAACAACGTTTCCATGAACAACTTAAGAGTATTCAACATGGCTGGACAGCTATTCAAAACCAAGTATTAACTCAAAACGAAATGATCACAACAGCATGTAATATTATTGAAGATATTTTATTTGATTCTTGTCAAACCATAAACAATATGGTTGGAAATATAGTAAATGAAATTAGAATTAAGTCTACAACAGAAGAAGAACAGAAAAATTTTTTAATAATTGAAGAACATCTTAAACTTATGACAACAAAGTTAATCGACAAGAAACAAGCCTACAATCAATTTCAAGAACAATTAAAAATATTAATGTTCCAACAACGAACTGCTGCAACATCGATAATGAACTCATTATTTTCAAAAACGAATGTATAAAGATGACTTCAGATATTCACCGGCAACAATAGACCTATCATTTTGTAATAGTTTTAGTGGAACCTCCCAAGAAAAAAAGGAACTATATTCTATGATAGATGAGTGGAATAGTAGAGTATCTATCTCGAACTTATGTACGATTTGGGAGAAGCAGCGCCCTTCTAACTCTTTATCTGAAAATCTTTTATTTCTTTTATATAATTGTGAATGCCTAAATACGCATCAAGCTGATTTGGATATCTTACTCTCTTCGTATCTTCCGCAAATAGTTATTCTAACTGGTGTCGGATCTTTAATTCGTAATTTACCCTTGCTGCCAAACTACTATTGGTTAAGTCAAAAAGGTACGAATTCGTTTGGAGGTGTTGCAATACTAATCCATCATTCTCTTAAGAGTACAATAGTTTACACAGTTGAGAATTTTCTTTTAGCTGAAATTGACATATTATCTTCTAAAATCTTGGTTGGAGCTGTGTACGTTCCACCCAACAAACAACCACCTTTTGAACATTTTTCAAGATTAAATGGAAAAGAATTTTATTTATTTGGCGACTTCAATGCTAAGCACTCGTTATGGTCATGTGAAACAAATAATACTAGTGGAAGTGCATTAAAAGAATGGATGGAAAGAAATGGATGGGAAGGTATTTTCCCAACTGTTCCTACTTCAAAACGTTCTTCTGCTATTATAGATTTTGCTCTTACGCACAATAACTCAGGTTGGAAAGTTGAAGTAATTGATGAGGGTACATCAGATCACTTTCCAATTCTCTTTTCATCTCCTTTCACAGCTGCTGAAGATGGTTTTTTCCGTAAAACAAATTGGAATTTGTTTAAATTCTTTTTATCGTTAGTTAATGAATATTGGAATGCATGCGTTTACAATTTTGACGAACATTTTTTTTTCACTCTCTTTTCTTCTTTCCTCTCATCACTATGGGATAGAACAAGTGAATATATAACTATAAGAAAATATAGACCACCTTGGCCAGCTTATTTAGTATCACTGGCACGCAGTGTAAATAAACATCGACGTAAATACCGTCGAACACGCTTCTTATGTCATCTGAATGCTTATTTATGCGCAAAGAGAGAATATCACGAAGAAAGAGCGTACTATTTACAAAAGAAAAGAGAAAATCACTTAACAACAATAAATCAAGGACAAAATATTTGGCGATTCGTTCACAATACATTTCGTCCTTATACCACCTCATTTCGAGGTATTAAAGTAGCAAACGGTATAGAAAAAGACCCTAGAAAAATCGTTGATATTCTTGGAAATTACTATGAAAAACATTTTGCGCTTCCGATACATAATCCAAATAATGTAACGCATATAAAGTCTATCATTGCTTATGAGCAAATTAGTTATTTACCTAACATGCCTTTGCCTTTGGTAACTTTGAATCAAGTTGAAAAACAATGGTTAAAATTTTCAGCTAAAAAATCACTTGATAGTATGAAGAACTCAGCGTTTCTGTTAAAAAATTTACCAATAGAATATATGAAAGTTATCACAGTATTGTTTAATAAGTGCGCGTCAAAAGGAAATGTATTTGAAGCAAGTAAACATGCTAAAGTTATATGTTTATCTAAAGACGGTATGTATCCAGCGGAAGATAAGCTCAGACCGATTTCACTTCTGCCTAATCTGGGGAAGTGGTTTGAACGTTGTATACATGAACAAATACAAGAATGGTGTAAAGATAAAGGGATATATACTGATGAACAATCAGGTTTCACACCAAATAGACGTTTACAATCTCGAATTCTGTCAATCTGTGAAGACTTAAGATTAACTGTAGCAGCGAATAATCGCCCAGCGTTATTAATATTCGTTGATTTTCTCTCCGCATTTGATAAAATGTGGTATCCTGCCTTGATAGCAAATTTAGTTGAATTAGATATGCCATTACCATTGATAAAATGGATTTATCAATGGCTTCAAGAAAGAACTATGAGTATACATCATGGCGATTCACAATCGAAAACCGTAAAACTACACGTAGGTGCCCCACAAGGTTCAGTTCTAGCTGCAACACTGTTTAGAATTCATATTCACTTCCTTCCTAAATATTTTTTTCGTTTTTGTACGCATTTATTTGCCGATGATGTAGCGATTCTTTTAAAAGGTTCATTAGAAAAAAAGCTATCTCAAAATATAATCGAATTAGAAAAACAAGCTAAAATAGCAATGTATACCCTATTATCCTTTTCAGAAAATCATTTATTACCTGTGAACGTGAAAAAAACAAAAGCAATGCTGGTACATAGTGCAGTATCTCCAAGTCAACCGAAAATATTTTTCCAAAATCAACAGATTGATTTCGTACAACATTTTAAATACTTAGGGGTAGAAATTCGTGTTAAATTAGGATGGGGAAGTTATATAAAAACGCGTATACTTAAGATTAGAAATGTTTATAACGCTCTGAAACAACTTTTCCGACAAATCCCTATTGAACTGATTCATATTCGTAAAAAATTATTCTATGCTTTTGCTTTACCCCACTTTATCTGGCTTTTTATGACATGGTTTTACTTTACAGAAATACAACAAAATGAAATAGAACATCTATATGCATCAGGACTACGTATAGTGTATAACCTTTGGGGCTGGGAAGACTATACTGTTTTCGTACTTACAAGGGAAAAATCCCTTATGGATTATCTATATAAATATTGGGTGAAAATGATAAAACATCTACACACAGCAACCGAGGCCCTTGATTACCAGCAATCATGGGAAGCATATATTATTGCAACATCTACAAATCGAATTTACTATAAATCTATGGGATTTAGAAAAAACAGTTTTTTTCTTAATCGTTTGGCAGCAAGGGCTCACCATGTAAATTTGGATATTTTTACTTTCTTCTGTATACATGAGAAACAATACAAAATTTTTAAAAGATCCCCTGCAGTGTTAGAAAGATTCGTATATAAGTATTTATACCCTCCATAATATATTATCCAAATCGTAATCAAAATTGAAATTGTGATAACTAGTTCTATTTGACCTTGATTCTTATTAACTATCTCCACACATCTATACTCGACATATACATTCTTTTTTTTCTTTTTCTCTATCACTCTTTAATATCTTATACTACATGAACCTATATACTATTCTTATTTTTTTTGTTAATATATATATTTCAGACGTCCAGAGGAGATGACGACAGCTAAGCGAGAGAAAAGAGAAATGGCTGTTTATGTTTATCTTTATTATTCTTTGTTTTTTTTTATTCTCATAACTGTATCAGTGTCTGTTAACCCTATGTGGAACAATAAACTTTCATATTAAAAAAAAAAAAAAAAGTTCAATGAATTCATAGATGTCCCGTACTAAGACTGAAAGTAAAAATATCGGAATTAGAAAATATTGAAAAAAGTTATGTCTTCAGTGAACGTTGACACTACACAAGTGTTGTTTATTATTTTGGGTGTCAGTGTGACAAGTGTCTAGAAACGTTTAACCTTACACAGACGCTGATATTAGCATACTCATTCTAAATGCCATGGAATATTTAAATAGTTTATCATTTGTGATTGCTAAAGAAAAAAGATGCCAGTTTATAAATTTCGTTCTTATTTTGTATCTCTTGACTTGTATATGATCCCGTTTAGAATGTGAGTAGTAAACCAAAAACAAAGCATATACCTTACTAGCTGAAGTTTTCTAAGGAGCTTTCTGATAATTTTCCACGTCGATGATTTTTTTCTTTCGCCTTAGCTGCAGCCAACCGAATTGGGTTCTCATAGTGGTGAAATGTGCCATGTTTACTTTTCACTTCCTTTTATGTTTCAATCAGTTGATTAATTGAAATATAAATTTTTCGATTTATTACAATAATGAAAACATGATTCGAGTAAAACGTAAATACCTTTTCGGAAAAAGTGCTTTGTGATAAATCGTACAAGCAATTATTCGTGTTTTTTTGAAAGATCGAGTTTTTCAATATTCGCCATTCTTTCTTCGCATTGCATTTCAGAATCGAGTGAAGCTCGAATACCGTCTAGCTTCGCTAGCAGGTAGTCATAGTTTCTTCTACTATTTTCACCGTTTTACGAGCTTACGACAAATGACGAAGTAATTTTCAAGGATTTTTTCCGTGTTATATCACTTTCGAAGACCTGGAAATATTCCTATTATAACCTATTTTCAAGACTTACAACCTTTTTAGATAAGGCTTAACACTTATATAAGAAAGCTCCTAATGTACAGATTTCTGCAAGATATTTAACTCTTTGCTGTAAATTTCATTCGTTGAAATATATGGATATTGCTTTTCTTGATTTTGTCAAAATATTTTAATGATTATTGGTTTCAACAATAATAATTTATTTTATGGTATGTAGTAGCAATCAGGATTTGTATGATGTAGTGATTATAAAGTAAGTTTTCCATACGGTCTAATACAGTTAGTTCGAACTTGTCTTTTATATTATAAAATATAATAATTGTGTTCATTCAAAATAATCAAGAAATAAATAGTTGAAAAATATCCTCCTAACAAATTAGTTAAAATCCATCATCGTATCACTACTCTATCATGATCTAATTTTATCTGAATATATTGATGTAAATAATTTACTTTTACTTTTCTCATTTTTCTTTTTTCCATAAATAAAATGTACATCATATTTAATCGACGAAAGAAGAAAAAAAAACAAAGAACTGATGTACAAAAAAAGATTCATTCACTGTTTTACAAGCAGCATGGGAAACAACAAATTAATTTTTCTTCTCTGTCTGTCTTATTTTCATTAAAAAAGGAAGTTATATACACAAAAAAAAAAAACGAATGAGTTAGTTATGTTTCAAAGAAATGAATAGGAATGTATGGATGTGTTTAGATGCAAGGCAAAGTATGCACCGAGTTTATGTTGAATAAGGAGGCAATTGTGTTATGTAACTTCAGCATTGAAACGTCGATGATTGGATAATGGAGTTTTTGGTACACCAAAATTCATTGATAAACCAAGTAAATCATCTTGAGGATTTCGAATTAAACATGGTTCTGATTGTGAACGTTGTAAACGTGGAAATATAAATTCAAATTTTGATAATGTATCATCAATCTAATCAAGAAAAAAGCTTTATATAGAAAAAACAAAAATTTTCTTTTAATTAAAAAAACCTCAGGTGAAAAATTTGGTCGTTGTTCACGATCAAATTCTGTACATTGACGAATCAATTCAATTATGGCTTCAGGTGTGTCATCACGACATTGTTCGACTTTTATTTTTAATCGTCCTTTTCCAACGAGCCACATAATCTGTTAAATAATATAAGTATTTAAATATAATCATTGAATTTAGACTAATATATTATTTATTGATCGTCAAATAAAATATTCTTAAATTTATGTTATGCTGACATGATATAATGAGTTCAAGAGAATATAATGATGCCTATGTTTTGTTTGTTAAGAAATTTTCTTTCAAAATGTATTTCCTACTTAATATGGTCCGTTTGAAATGAAATTTTCAAAAATTATTGTCTCTACTGAATAACGCTTTTGTTAAAAATTTCAGTCAAATATGTCAAATATAGGCTGAACTTCTAGCTTTATTATAGATCTTTTACGGCTTTTAAAAAAATCTCTACGGCTACCATCTTTTTTATTAAAAATACAAAACTTCGATTGACTTCAAATGAAAACCGACACCTGTAGACAGTTTTCTTTGAATAAAATTTTCCAAGTCACTGTTGTTTATTTTTTATGAGTAGCTTAATAAACTTGATTTTGAAATAAGCATAAAAAAGGTGATCTTACGCTACTAAGGTTCCTCTTTTCTCAACACAGGAATCAACCATTAAGAAAAACCTCTGGTTTGAACAAAACTTTACTTTTATTTAGTGCTTCAAAACAAACAAAAAATTGCATGGGAAAGAATTTCGATTTTTCTTACTGGAATCATATTTTGACAAAAGAACTTTAAAAGAAAAGCGCAAACGTTTTCATGAAACCTATGATAGTAGTATGAATATTGCAGCTATAAATCTATTAAAATCTAGCTATCTTTCAAAAGATTATGTGTACATTATACGAGAAAAACGTTCCACATATCTTCTTCTGACAAAAA